AGGTGGGTCTCGAACCCGCAGGCTCAGGCAATCCACTCACCTCGGCCTCCCAAAGCACGGAATTACAGGTTGAGCCACCAAGCCCGGCCTACCTGATGGTTTTCAAAATGTGTTCTCTGCTGTCCAAAATGACAGCAAGAATGTCACTTGAACTAGACCTTGAAGAATTTATTGTTGATGAAGAAAATTGGGAAGAATTTTCCTAAAAGGAAACAATGTGAGGGGTATTTTTTTTTTAAGGAGATATGGAGACCAATTTGGATGGATCGGACATTTTGCATAAGGGAGTAGTGGTTGATCAGGCCCCAGAACTAAGCTGGAGTAAGATTTGAATAGCCTTGAGTGTCAGTCAAAAGGAATTAGAGCTTTTTCATGCGGGTAACAGGAAACCATTGAGTTTTTTTTTTTAACTGAGAAGTACTGCTCTCTAAAAATATCTGGAGCATGTGGGTGCCATTTATTGAAATAGAGAAGCCATGAGTGATATGGGCACGCTTTGGAATTTCAAAAAATGGAATCTGCATGGAATTGACTAAGAAGTTGGGAATACAAGATTTGTTTTCAGGAGAGGAGTGGGGGCTGGGGAGAGAGATTTATAAATCATCTTCATAGAACTAGTAGTTAAAACAGGAGGTTGAACTCTTAAGTTAGAGCTTAGAAAAAGCAGAGTGCCTTCTCACCTGAGCCTTAAACATAACTACCTCAAAAGAAGAGAGCTGGCACAGGGAAAAAATCAGAAAACTAACAGCAAGAAGGTAGTGCCCAGTTATGAGAAAGATGCTGTTAACACTGAGTCTCCTGCCAGTGCCATAGCCCAGTCTTCTGAGACATTTGGCAATAAAGGGAAGGAAAAGTATGGAGCAAGACCTGGAGGTACAGAAAGTAGCTTAATAAATTTTTTTTTTTTTTGAGTTGAAGTCTCACTCTGTCGCCCAGACTAGAGTGCAGTGGCCGCTCCCAGCCACGGCAGCCTTGACCTGCTGGGCTTTGGCGATCTTTCCGCCTCAGCCTTCCAGGTAGCTGGAACTACAGGCGCGCGCTACCACGCCCGGCTAATTTTTGATTTATGTAGAGATGAAGTCTCGCCAAGTTGCCTAGGCGGGTCTTGAACCCACGGGCTCAGGCAATCCACTCACCTCAGCCTCCCAAAGGCGCGGGATTACAGGCTGAGCCACCGAGCCCAGCTTGCTTAATATATATTTATTGAACACCTAATGTGTACTGCTGGGCACTAGTGATGTTTTCTCCTATAGAATGTTTTCTCCTATAGAAACACCATCTGATTCAGATCATAGTCTGTGCCCTCAAGCAGCTTAAGATTCAAGACCTGAATTTTCTCAAGTGAATTATTATAAACAAGCTACTTTTGTCATTTGTATCCTGTGTGACCATCATAATTACAGATGACATTGTAGTTAGATTTTTTTGTTTTTTTGAGTAGGAATCTCACTGTGTCACAGGCTGGAGTGCAGTGGCACACTCATGGCCACCGCAGCCTCGACTTGCAGGGCTCAGGCAATCCTTCTGCCTCAGCTTTTCAAGTTACCGGAACCACAGGTGCGCACCACCGTGCCTGGCTAATTTTTTGATTTGTTGTTGAGACAGGGTCTCACCAAGTTACCCAGGCTTGTCTTGAACCCCTAGACGCAGGCAATCCTTTTGCCTCCGCCTCCTGAAGTGCTGGGATTACAGACGTAATCCACTATGCCTGGCTGTAGTTAGATATTTCTACCCTTGTCACTGGGTTCTTACTAAATTACTAATATATCAGCTGGGCTCGGTGGCTCAGCCTTTAATCCCACGCCTTTGGGAGGCTGAGGTGAGTGGATTGCCTGAGCCCGCGGGTTCGAGACCCCCCCTGGGCAGCGAGACCTCATCTCTACAATAAATTAAAAAAAAAAATCAGTCGGGCGTCGTAGCGCATGCCTGTAATTCTGGCAACTTGGAAGACTGAGGTGGAAGGATTGCCGGAGCCCAACAGATCGAGGCTGCGGTGACCGGGAGCGGCCACTGCACACCAGTCTGAGCGACAGAGTGAGACTCCAACTCAAAAAAAAAAAAAAAAAAATTACTATTATATCTATATTCTTTGGAAAAAAGGTAGCCATGCTATTTATATTTATAATGCCTTCCATGTATTATAGTATACTTTTCAGTATGTTTTCATTTGAACCTTGGTGGGAAAAAAGCAATGGGAGTATACTTAAGATTGCTATTAGTCTATCCTACAGGTAAGAGAAAACTGAGGCTTGGAAAACAGACAATTAGAATTCTGGTTGTGCAGAATTCTGCTAATCATACATTTCTTCTTTCTAGACAAGGTATTATAGTTGGTATTATCATGAGGAAGAAGAATTTGGTAACAAAACTTAAGTAGTAATAGCTAGACAGTAATAGGTTTAGATTTAGCCCTTAGCATGGTTGTAGCTAAGCTGTGGTCGCATTGGAGAATATAATTTCTCACTAATACATTTTATGACAAGCACTCAGAACAGTGTTTAGCACACAGTAAGAATCACATAAGTCATTATTCTGGTTAATCTAAGGAGAGCAGAGTGTCTTCTTTACTGGGCTAGAACAGTTTCTATCTCTGCCCTATTTCGATTTTTGCTTTTTTTCTCCTTCCCATTCCAATCTACCATTCTTTAGTATATTTTTAGTGTTTGCTATATATTATTTACTTTTGCTGTTTCTTAGTTTATTTTAAAATGTTTAATTCTCACTTAAAAGATTCCTTATTCAGCCTTCCAAGTAGCTGGAAGTACAGGCATGCTCTACTAAAAAAATTATTCCTTATTTAGGTTACAGTATTTAGTATTTATTTAGTA